TCCCCTGCCTCGCTCCTCCTCCCCCTTGTGCTGCTGTTCTGCTGCGCGCATCCGGCTACGCCGTGGCAGGCCTGGCGCGGCCACGGAAACCTGCGCCGCCTATCACGCAGTGCCCGCGTCACCCGCCCAGCTCCGCCGTAGGCGGCGCGAGGAGCACAGGTCACATCACCACCATCCAGCGCGATAGCCTCTCTCATTCACTGCCTCCGTCCCATCTCTCCTGCCTTCCATCTTCAGCGCTCCCTGCCCTCGCCTACCGCCCGCCCGCCCAGCCACACGCCACGCTCACGGGAGCTCCCTGAAACAATACCATCCTCTCATCCGTCCCGTCTCCCATCTCCTATCCGTCTCTGGAGCGGTTCCCGAAGATCTCCAAAGATCTGTGGTGGTCTCCAAGGGTCCCTCAAATTCCGCGAAATCTCGGGAAGCCTCGGGCGACCTCCAGAAGCCAAAAACGGGACACGAAGTCCAATCGACAAAACCTGGATCCTCGTTGTTCATCCCTCCTCAGTCTCCTTCCTCCTCACTTTCCATAACCTGTATCGCCTCCCACTCCCTCGCACCCTCCCTCATCTCCCCCCACCCCGCCCTCGTCCTCGTCCTCGTCCTTCTGCTTTTCCTCCTCATCCTCCATCCTGCTCTCCTGCTTCTCCTTTTCCTTTCCCTCCTCCTCCTCCTCCTCCTGATCCTCGTCCTCCTCTCCCGCCTGCTCCTGGTCCTCTTCGTCTCCTGCTGCTTCCCCGCCCTTCTGTTCTCCCCTCCTCCTCGTCAAACGGCTCATCGTCGTCGTCGTTCTCCTCCTCCTCCTCCGAGCCCGGAGCATCGACTGCGCCGATCAGACCCGCCCGCCTCCCCACGGGGCTGAAACGTTTGAGGCCTCAACTATACAGGGCAGGTTTTAATACATAGGATTAAACAAAAAACACATGGGATCTGTAATACATGACTAATTTAGGAATAAGTTGATGCATGAACCCATCGTTGTTTTTAATTATAAATCCCTGCATTTTTAATACATGATCCGCACGCGGAGCATGTATAAAAAAACGGCACTACCGGTACGCATCCTGTTGACGGGGCTCCCGCAGAAGCTGCACATGCACGGGCACACGCGGGGCCGCGCACGCGCGCTGGCCCAGAGGGAGCGCGCGGCGCTGTGCCCCAAACCTGGTGGCGCAAGCGCATGCAGGCGGACGGTGAAGTTGGGGGCGAGTTTGGAAGAAAGCAAACGAGGTGCCGCAAGGCAGGGAGCCTGAAGGCCTCACATGAATGGGCCAGTTGTCCACCACCACTACCACAGGTGGGAGAGGGAGGAGGAGGAGGAGGAGGAGGAGGAGGAGGAGGAGGAGGAGGAGGAGGAGGCGGAGGCGGAGGAGGAGGCGGAGGACCTCCCCATCCTCCCTCCCCCCCCCCCATCCTACTCATGGAAGTGGTGGTGGACAATTGGCCGATCATCACACTGCAAAGCCTGTCTTTACCCCCAATACATTTCTCCTCGCGACTGTCTGGCCGACACGCGCTTCACAGCCTGGCACTTGCCGTTTCCTGGCTCGGCCCGCAGACGCCGACTGGGCGCCGCAAGGCGAATCTGAGGCTTTCGTCGAGAGCCAGCTCGTGGCGTAGGGGCATTATCCTTCCGCGGGGCCAACACGGACAGCAGACTCCAATTTTCTAGCATAGTATCTGGGGCGCCTGCAAGCGGGGTAAACGAAAGGAGGGAGGGGCAAGGTAGAAGGAGGAGGGGGGGGGGACCAGTGAAAACCCAAGACGCATCAAAGATGTTGCAATAACCTCCCCTCCGAATTTCCTCTGATATGTTGCATTCATTTCGATACATGCCCCACGTAAGACACCCGTTTGCGAATCCTCGATCGTGCCAAAACACAGTTGCTGAGAATTCAACGCCCTGCATCAACGTGACTGTTGCGTCCTGACAATCCTAGATCGTGCGAGAATACCATTCCTGATATTGCAACACCTCGAATCAACGTGACTGTTGCGTCCTGACAGCCCTGAGTCATGCCAGAACACCGCGAGAGCCACAGTCTGAAAACGATGCGCCCTCCATCCTTGAAGCTGCTGCAAGATTGTACGGCGAATGTGTACGGCGCTACTGAGGGAGCCACATTATTGAAAGGATCCGCCCTCCATCCTTGAAGCTGGCGCAAGCTATTATGGCGAATGTACGCGGCGCTCATGCGCTGCTGGCCACATTTTCAAAAATAACCCGACCTCCATCCCTGATGCTGCTGCAAACTGCTACGGCGAATGCACGCGGCTCGAATGCGAGAGCCACACTCTGAGAAGGCCCCGCCCTCCATCCCTGAAGCTGCTGCGGACTTTTGTGTAGTGAATGTGGGCGGCGCTCTGGAGAGAACCCCACCTTCGAAAAGAAGCCCGCCCTCCATTGGCGGCACGCAGAGGAGGGTAGGGGGAGGGGGGAAGGCTTCTTAGAAGCACCCCTGCTTCTTAGAAGGCGCGGGCCTTCTCTATAGACGTAAGGCCGAGGCCTTCTAAGAAGCAGGGTGCTTCCAAGAAGCCTTCCCCCCTCCCCCTACCCCCTTTTGCGCGCCGCCATCTCCAGCCCTGGAACCGGTGGCAACTGTTTGACACGAGCCTGTCCGGCGCGAAGGCCAGATTTGGAAACCGACCCTCCATCCATCCGTGGAGCTGCCGCAGGCTTCTGCAGGCCTCGTCGAACATGAACAGAGGACTCCTCCTCCTCCCCCCTCCTCCCTCCTCCTCCTCCTCCTCCTCCCTCCTCTCCTCCTCCTCCTCCTCCTCCTCTCCTCCTCCTCCTCCTCCCCCTCCTCGTCCTCCTTGTCCTCCTCGTCCTTCTCCTCCTCCTCCTCCTCCTCCTCCTCCTCCTCCTCCTATTCCTCCTCTTCGAGCCGGGTCGGCGCTGCCCCAATGCTGACGGATGACTGCTGACTCGGACGCGGTGCTGTCCAAAGACCGACCCCAGCCTCTCAGCATTGAAGAACGCGCCTTCTGACAGGTGCCCGAAAGCATCGTGCTCCAGGATTTCAGCTTCCATTTCTGGATATGTTTGACGAGGCTTGTAGCTCCAGGATCATACATGGTGAGGAAATCTCTAGCGGAAGCCCCGGCCCGCCAAACCAACACGTCGGGGGGGTGCACCAGGGAGGAGTTCCTTAGAAGGGCCAAGGAGAGGGCAGGAGCAGGACGAGGGGCGCCACTTAGAATTCTCGCTTGGACCCGGGAGCGGCAAAGCAGAAACGTACCCGTGCCCTTCCAAGCTCCCTCGGCCCACCGTCTGGCGGCGAGGCGTCCGACTCCTCGGGGTGTCCATCATCCTCCTGCGCCCAGGAGTAGCCGGCCGTCGTGATCGTCGTCGCCGTCGTCGTCGCAGCCGTCGTCGTCGTCGTCGTCGTCGTCGTCGTCGTCGTCGGAGATTGCGGAGCAGCTCGGGCAAGAGAGGCAGCAGAAGCAGAACGAGGAGGAGCAGCAACACGAGGAGGGGGATCAGCAGCAGCAGCACATCGTTACGACACAGCCATTCAAGCAAGCACGATGTGCTATCTGGGCAAGCGAAGATATTGAAGGAAAGCGCGAACAGGGGCGGCGGGAAGAAGGGGTGCTGACTGCACCTTATCCGCCGTGCATGCAGGTGACTAAGCCTCCCGAGCGGGCGTATCTGAGTACGCGCTCGAACATTTCCACGCGAGCGAGGCCCAAAGCCCAGGATTGGACATGCTCCTCCAACCTCGGAGAAGCTAGAGTAAGGCTGTCGTGTACACAGGGAGGCGCCGTGCTCGGGGATCGAAGGGGCTGCAGTGCGCGCCGAGCTCAGGGTCCTTCGCAGCAGCCCCCCCCCCCACGACCACAGTGCCATCGCCAAAGGAGCTGCAGGCGGTGTCGGTGTCGTGAGCCAGGCGAGCACCCCGCCCTCCTCCAACACATCATCACCCTCAGTGGCCGAGGCCGACATTGCCCCACCGGAGGTCTCACATGAAAGGGCCCCTGGACGTCCAAGGGAGCGAACGTTCTGAACAACTCGCGCGGGTCCTTACCCATGTTATTCGCGATGGGTGCTTTCCCTGCCTGCCATGGATACCCGTCCGCACCTGCATTAGGCGCGTCTGCCTCGGAGTTCCCTTCGTCGCGAGGGTCGCGAGCATGAACCAGGCCCCGAAGGGTCCGAAAATGGTCAAGAACGTCCGAGCACCTCGGTCCTCGAACCTCTCCCCCCTCACCCCTCCCGGCGGCGAGGAGGAGGAGGAGGAGGACGACGAGGAGAAGAAGGAGCCCTCCCCCTCACGGCGGCGTCCTCGTCTGAGGTGGCAACGGCGAGGGGGTACCAGCTCAGAGGGGGGAAGGCATCGGCATGGAATCGGCGAGATCTCGCCGAGAGACGGGCGATAGGCTTATGTTGCTCCCATCGTACTTAAAGGACCACATCCCAGAAATGATTTCGATCACCCGGAAAAAAAAGTGTCGAAAGAGTGCCGAAAGAGTGTCGAAACAGTGTCGGACGCGTCTCCCAGGGCCCGACACACCTGAAAACCCTCGAGTTCCGGCACTTTTTTGGTGCTCGGAATTCTTTCTGGTGATCAACGCTAAAGTAGGTGGGAACATCATAACGATAAGCCCCCGATAGCGGATCCGCACGTTCTAGAGCGGGACGGGCTGGCGTATCGGGCACCTGCCGGCGAGCACTGGGCGATTGGTGGTCGATGCGCCTCTCCTTGAGCCCAGCGCCCCTGACGCTGCCCCTGATCCGACTGGTTTTGAAGGGGGCCCAGGGGCACACAAATGAATACCTACAAATCCCAGGCTTCTCCACATATTTGTCCATATTTCCTGGATCCTCGCCTTCCCCCCCACCTCCCAGACTTTCCTGCTGTTTTTTCCTGGGCATCGACGATTCATTGTGTCTGTGTTTTTGGTTGCCCCTATCCTGAGGTTTTCGTGCCATGACCTGACCGCCCGAAGACCTCGAACCTCAAACCCGAAGCCCTGAGCCTATCCTATCCCCCCCCGTGGGGTAATCAAAAGGTATCGATACATGGCAGTTTTGAATACATGGGATGTTTAAACATATAGGATTTTTATACATGACTAATCTATGAATAAATTTATGCATGAGCTCATCGTTGCTTTTAATGCCAAATCCCTGCATTTTGAAGACATGATCCGCACGGGGATCATGCATTAAAAACAACACTGTATTGAGCGTCCTTTTTTTATTCGGCATTTCGACATTGGGCGGAAGTGGGGGGGGAGGTGGGGGTCTGGCTCCAGGCCTCTGCTCAGTGCGACCGTTTGCAGGAGTGCTGCCTCTAGGGGAGACTCCACCAGCTCGAAACAGGCGCCCCAGACAGCCAAGACCTACTCCATGGGGGGGGGGAGGGGGGGGGCGAGTGTCAGCGCCGATCGGCAAAACAACGAATAACAAACAATCATATACCGCTACTCCCCGGACCGCTCGCGGGGCACGATACTGCTACAGTGATCGGCCTGACCTAAGGAGCGATAAATAAGGAACGAAGCCCCTTTTCTCCAAGGAATAACGCATACGGAACGATAAATAATAAGTAATGCATAAGGCATAAGGAACAATGAATAACGCATGCAGGCCGAAAGGACGACCGAGCCCCTTTTGAAAAGCAAGTGTTCCTTATTCAAGACGCTCACCGTACTCCCCAGACCGCTCCTGGGATACGCTGCGACCAGAACTTCGAGGCGCATCTGGCGGTGGCGACGCAAAAGCCTCCCAAGGAGGCCCACCCAGGGGGACAACGAGGGCGGGGTAGCGGTACAGGCACCTCTGGCCATCGCTCGGACGTCCATCATTCCCTGTGTTTTTGTTTCGGGTTCGTGCGTGGTTTTTTTTCGCCAAGTGATCAGGGATGCTCCTCGATGGCCCTCGCCGAGAAAAAATGCACACGTCCGAGCGATGCCAAGACCTCGTCCTCCTCGGACTATATCGTCGACCTCCTTTGGGCGTGGCTTAATGGGGGGGTCACAAATGGGGGGGTCAGAAAAGGTCCCCTTTCGTGCCCCTTTCGGGCCCCTCCAGAGCCCCAGGGGGCTCGTTTAGGTACCGTTTGGGTACCTTTTCGGACCACGCTCGCCACCCCCCCATTTATGACCCCCCCATTACGCGGCGCCCAACTCCTCCCGGCGTCCTCATCACCGGGCAGCCGCTCGCCCGTGGCCTCCTGCAGCTTGCGGCGGTAGCCCAGCCGGAGGCGCCGGCTCTCCGCCAGGCGGGCGGACTTTGCCTGTGCGGCGCGGCGCGGCGGGGAGGTGGTGCTGGGCAGATGCCAGAAGGCTCAGGTGAAAGGCGATATCGCCTCCTCCTCCTCCTCCTCCTCTTTTCTTCCTCCTCCTTTCTTCCTCCTCCTCCTCCTCCTCCTCCTCCTCCTTCTCTTCCTCCTCCTCTTCCTTCTCTTCCTCCTCTTCCTCCTCCTCCTTCTCCTTTCTTCCTCCTCCTCCTCCTCCTCCTCCGACGCGATATCGACCCTCGATCCTTGGCCGAGTGTCGATAGCGCCTTTGCTCGACGTGTTTGAGCATCGACTCGGCAAATCGGATCGGATTGGCATGCGTAATTCGAATCGGACCGCATCGGCTCCTAGTCGGAATCGAATTGAATCGGTGGCGCCAGGATGCACGACATCGCCATGCGAGCATCGGGCAACATCGGATCGCCAGAATACGTAGCATCCCGCAGATGCGGATAAGAGTGAGGGGGCGGTGGGGACGTCGGCAGTCTGCGAGACTTTGGAGAAGCCCGCCGCAGGCGCCAAAGCTTCACGCATAATGCAACGAGCCCGCCCGAGCCCGCCGCAGGGGGGATTTTTCGTTACACCAATGTGGGTAGGTCGCGGGTGGGTTGCGGGTGGGTCGCGGGTGGGTCGCGGGTGGGTCGCGGGGCGGGTCGCGGGTGTGTCGCGGAGTGGGTCGCGGGTGATTCGCGGGTTAGGTCGCAAGTGGGTCGCGGGTGGGTCGTAGATGGGTCGCGGGGCGGGTCGCGGGTGGGTCGCGGGGTGGGTTGCAGGTGGGTCGCGGGGTGGGTCGCGGGGTGGGTCGCGGGTGGGTCGCGGGTGGGACGACGACAACAAAAGACAACAACGCAACAATGCAATACATGTCATAATCCTCACCACGGGTCCCCAGTTCAGCCACGCACCCAAGGACAATGAATGACCGTTCGGCCCCCTCACTCTGATCGGGAGCGGACAAGAGGGGGGTGTCCAAGAGGGGGGGGTGCAAATCATGACCGGCGGCATGTGCGCGGCCCAGCGGGGGGGCCAGGGACGTAATGAAATAAGAAGAGGCGCCATGAAATCTGAGGAAGAATCATGGCCCGCGCCATGATATCCACCCCCCCCTAGTCATCACCCCCTCTTTTCCGCCCCCGATCTGATCATAAGCAACCCAGCCGGGCCGGGCCGAGCCCAGAGCCGATATACTGATTCGGATCGATCGGATCGAAATGGGCCCATGGGCTCTGCCTGGCCCAGGGGGCGAGGGGCGAACGAGAAGGGGAAACGGGGGAGGAGAGAACAGGCGAAAACGGATGTGTCGGGTCGGGCGAAAGGGGGGGATAGCAAAGGGAGGGTTTGAGAATCAGCTCGCGTAGCTGATTTTCCCGGCGCCTCCTGGCGCCGGAGGCGGCCATGTATCGAGAAATGGGCCTGGCGGCGGGGCCGAAACCAGCTGCATGCAGCAAATTTCGTACCCCCCCCTTTCCCAATCCCCCCCTTTCGCCCGGCCCGAATGTGGAACGAGGAGGGACTCTCCTCGAGAAAAAGGAGGTGACACGAGACAAAGGATGCGGAACGGAGCGTGTGAACGTCCGTGCCGTTCCGATCTCTCCCGCCCTCCCTCCTGGAGAGAGGGCGGAGAGGTCGGAACGGGACGGACATCCACACGCTGCCACTGCAGGGCGGGACCCGCGCCCCCTCGGGCAGGACGGTTGGGGGGGGGGGCGCTGCCCATGGGGGGCAAGAGAGGGGAGGGCGGAGGCTTGGCAGGGCTCATAGAAGAACAAAAGCAGGGGAGGGCGGAGGCTTGGCAGGGCCCTTGGGGGGGCAAGACAGGGGAGGGCGGAGGCTTGACAGGGCTCACAGAAGAAACAAAAACATCCCCATAAGCAACAACGTTTGGCGCTCCGTGCGGATTTCTTGGATCCGCGCCGGGCTCCCCCCCTGGCGCGCGGCGCGCCAGGGGGGGAGTCCGGCGGGGCCCAGCGCGGATCCAAGAGATCCGCGCGGAGCTCCAACATGTTATGTTTGTGGCGTTTTTTGTGCCTCGTCGACTTCGGGAGGAGGAGGAGGAGGAGGAGGAGGAGGAGGAGGAGAGGAGTAGGAGGAGGGAGGAGGAGGAGGAGGCGGAGGCGGAGGAGGAGGGGGAGGAGGAGGAGGAGGAGGAGGAGGAGGAGGAGGAGGCGGAGGCGGGTCCGGGCGGCCTTGAGCAATCTCGCGACGCGGTGAAAAAGGGGCGCTCGGGCCCGACACAGAAACGGGCCCCAGCAGCAGGCGGCACGGCGCCGCCAACGCCGACGCGCCGCAGCGCCCCGCCGTCGCCGCGGCTCGCGCCGAGCGTCGCGGCCCTCGGGCGGCGCCCGCCCTGCGGGCCTCAAGTCGGGAGCGGCCAAGAGGGGGGTGATCAAGAAGAGGGGAGGGTGCAAATCTTGACCGGCGGCACGTGCGCGGCCCAGCGGGGGAGGCCAGGGACGTCATGAGACAAGAAGGGGCGCCATGCAATCTGGAGAAATATCATGGCCCCCGCCATGATATCCACCCCCCCTAGTCATCACCCCCCTCGTTTCCGCCCCCGATCGAGGTGCGCCCTGCTGCACACGGCCCTCCGCCGCTCCGCGAAGGCACCGGGGCGACGCAAGACTCGGGTTCGGGCGACTGTTTTTTTGGAATTCAAAAAGCTGGTTCTTGACTGAAAAACAAGTCGTTTTAGACTTCAGAAACCAATCGGTTTTTTAAATCAAAAGCTGTTTGTTTTTGAATTCAGAAACTGTGGTTTTTTGATTGAAAAACTGATTTTTGAATTCAAGAACCAGTCGATTGACCTGACGGGGCCATCACGAACATGGCGAGGCCCGGTCGGAAATTTGACGCGAGCTCCCGCTGCAGACATCCTGCGACAAGCGGGCCGTCAAGATCCAGGACGCGCTCGTCAACAAGCGCCGGCGAACCCGAGTTCCGGCGTACTCGAGTCTTCCGTCTCCCTGACAACACAGGGGCGCCGACGGAGGTGCCGCCGGGAAGGGTGGCCAGTGGCGAGCCCTGGCGACCGCCGTCGGCCCGCGCGGCGCCCGGCTCTCCGCTTCCGTGATGCCGACGGCTCCCCCGCCCCGCGTCCGGGGAGAGAGGGGCGGCCAGCGCAGGCCGCCCGAGTGGGGGGGGGGGGGGGGCGCGGCCAGGCCCGCCCCCCGCCCCCCGCCCCCCGCGCGCCCTGCAGCACGCACGCACGCACACAAGAAACCGCGCCCCGACGGTGCATCGGCAAAGCAGACAATCTTGAATACGCACCTGCGCGATTACAGGCAAGGGAAACTGAGTGGGACGCCGAGCCCGAACAGAGCCTCGGGGCACACACGCCCTGCACCACGGGGGAAGCCAAAAGGCACCGACATCGCTACTCCCCCGCCTTCTCCCGGGGTGCGTCCTGGAAAAAGGTTCGGGCAAGTTTACTTGCATGGCGTTCGCCCCCCCCCCCCCCCCCCCCCGCCCCTCTTCAAGCGAATACTGGCGCGCAAGTGCCTTCCGACTTGCGTGATCTCCGCACGTGCGCGTCGTTTGCTGCTTGCTTCAGGTTCAGCCCCCCTTCCGTCGACGAACGTAAAGTTACCAGAATCTAACCAAAAAACTCAAAGTACCGATGTCGCTACTCCCTGGACCTCTCCCGGGGCACATTCTGGCCAAGTTTTCGACGTGCATACGGCGGCGGCGAAGAGGGCCTCCCTGGAAACCCGACAAAAAGCGAAAGCGAGGAAAGGGTAGCAATATGGGT